GCTGGGATCCCATGCGAGCTGGTCCCGTTGCCTTGGGTAAGAAGTGCGGACGTACAGGCACTCGTATTCCCCCTCTCACCCGCTTTAAGGGGCGGATGACACGAGAGGTCACAGACTCCAGCTGTCGGGGGCTCTGGAAAGCACCATTGCACGCCTTTGGCAGCCCGGTCACCTGCAGCCCGTAAGAGCTGCAGGACATAAGAAGACCCTCTTGGACAAAGGTGCCTGGTTCAGTGCTCTTAATTTACAATGGAATAAAACCAAAACAAACCAAGGTCTTAGAGCTTATTTTAATCGTTTAGTACATTTAATCGTTTAGTAGGAAACTGAGTGTCAGAGACTGCCTCCAGCTTGGTGCAGGTTCTGGGCAGTAAAATCGAGCTTCCAGTTCTCATTACAGATGCACAAGTAGCAGAAGTAGTTTCCTGCTGTATTGCTTTGTCATCTGGTCTTAACGGCTGGTAATCAGTGTTTGCTGCATTCCAAGTGACGCCACAATGGTGCAGTCAACGTGTGATCCCGCAAAAAACAAGGCACAACACCCCAAGTTACATGGAATGTTCGAGAACTAATATCAGTCTAGTTACCTTAGTGTTTACTTTTTAGATTTGTTTACTTTTTAGATTTGTTTACTATGTTTACTTTTTTTATTGCATTAGCCACATGTGTTTTCCACATCCTATGCACTTTGTACAGTTGACTTACTTAACCTCAGGTCCTTAAATGATTATTCTGCCTTTTCTTACATAAAATTATGTGTACATATTTACACACAGAAGCTCACAGGTAAAAATAGTGCAGTTTATATACAATATACGTAATGCGTTACTTCATATAGTAAGATAAAACCCAAACATAATGGCATACACATATACATATCCTGCCTGTGTCCCCTGCCATTCCAGCAGGCTGCAATACCTATTTTATGGCTAGTGTTCTGCTGAGGTTTCACTGGAACTTGGACAGAACTGACTCACCTTTAAACTGTTCTACATAACTATTATAGGAAAAAATATGTGGAATAGTATCTTAAGCAAATGTAGTTCTTCAGTGGAAAGAGCACAATTAGTAGATTACTTATTATTATTCATCCACACATTTTAGTGTTCCAGAAGACTGATGTTATCAGATCCTATACTTCTCTTTGGCTTTCTCTTTCAGAATGCAGATGTGCTAAAAAAGAAAAAGTATAAAAGTACGACTTTAGTCAGTCTTTACCTTCAAAGGAAATGCAAGAATGGGTTTCAGTTGTATTCCTAGCATTGTAAGCAAAACACAGAACACTAACTTCTGAAACTTTAGTTGCAAGTTTACCCCTTGCGATAAAATTGAGATGTTTAAATTACAGATGAGCTTGGAAGCAGTATTTAGATTTGTATATTCTGAAGAGGTCAGGTCTGTTCAGTTATTGTATCCTTCATACCACTTTGCAATAGCATCGATCCAGTATGTACAAGAACTGATTTGTCTTATTAAAAGTACTTTCAAGTGAAACACTTTTGCACTTAACCAGATTTAAGAAAGTACTTCTGACAACTAAGGGAAAAAAGGATCAGGTCTTTTTATCTGTTATGGTCTTTCAAAGACTATTACTCAGTGCAGCTTAAGAAGAATGTAATGGAAAAAAGGAAAAAAAGATCTTGATGGACATCTTACACGTGATAGGAAAAACCTTCATGCATAGTCCACACACAGCCATCTTTATTAAAGAGCTGGCTAGAAAAGAGCAACACAGGATTTCACTAAGACAGATAAACATCAAATTAAATCTAAGTTGCAAGTTACTTTCTCTCCAGGTGAGGCCAGCAGATTGTATGGTGCCAGCCATCCTGGAGGATTCAGAATACCATACAGCAGGGCTGGGCCATGAGACTTGTAGAGTAGATCCAACCCTAACTATGATTCATGGAAAAGTAAGGCATAAACAAGTTCTTCATTTACATTGAACCATCAGCTTGGCACATTAATAATGTTGCCCTTTTAATGGAAGTTTCTAATGAGATTTGAAGTTTTGTTACTTGTTGAGAAGCTCTGAGTATAAGATGACATTCTTGCTTGTTACCTGAGGTAACAGTCATGTGTAACAGCTGAGGCACACATGTATGTACTCACGTTTAGATCTCTGAAGTATTCATTGTAATCAAGTGCATATCCAACCACAAATTTATCTGGAATTTCAAAGCCTATGTCTGTAAGAAAATACAATTATTTTTATACTTGGGTGGTGCAAATCACTTTTAAGCACACAGTTTGTATTGAAGTCATGCTTGAGCCGACAAATGTATCATCTTGCTTTCAAGGTACTTAACATGATTCTTTAAGAATCAGACCTGTAATACGGTGACAAAGGTTAGAATCTGTACCACCCTCATAACTTTGTAATAGAATTAAAATGCTAAGAGAATGTGTAGCTAGATAATTATTTAAAACCTGCTTATGAGATAGTCCTGGGAGAGGCAGACAAGGAGTGAGCAAAAGTAGATGCACTGAGAGCATTGAGTAGGGATTTTCAGTTTGAAAACAAGGCGAGTTTAATGCAGAGTCAAAACAAATGCCTTGTAGGATCCAAGCCAAACAATACAAATACAAGGTTTGGTTCTATTTCTGGTGTCTGGTAACACACAGCCAAACCCATGCTCAGACCAATGGGGAGAAAAAAAGATGGTGATCGTGAGGTTTCAGCATGGGATAGCTGGTCATCAGTTCAGAAATTATATGTATTTTCCCCTCATTTCTCTTTGTCTTCCTGAAACTTAAATGTCAGTTATCAGCGTTCCTACATGAAGTGCAATTGTGAGATTGTATTTTGGACAGCCAGAAAAATGCAGTGCTTACAGTCTGGTCTGTAACCTGGATTTTGATGCGTCCTTTTAACGAGCAGGCTGTAAAGCAAAGCAGAGAATAAAAAACAGGTTATGTTTTTTAAAATATGCCTTGCGTTAAGATGTATACTTCACTTCTACTAGCCATCCCCATAAGCTTCGATAATCATGCAGTTAAATTAAAACAATGAGATTATTACAACAGAAAGAAGTAGTGTTCAGCCTTATAACTGAGGGAGAAGTTAAGGCACTGGTCTAAGTTCATTCTGAAGTTCCAAATGACTCAATTGTTTTACATTTAGTTCTTTTCCATTCTGTATCCCAAATTCAGTATCTCACCATGTACCAATGTATCAGCAAACTAGAATAGCACAGGGAGGGAAGCAAATTCAAGTGGCATGTAGATTTTAGCAGGGAGGGAGAGAGAAGAGGACAAGCTATGGATTTCTTCCACAATGTCATATCCATTCTTGCTTTTCCTATGCACTTCTGAACAAACTGAGGATCTCCTGTACAGTCATTAGGAGGAGCATGACTGGTACATCAGACAAGAAGCATATTTTCAAAGTATTGTGATCACTTGACAAACAAAGCTATTCCCAAAAAATTCCTTTTAGAGATAATCTCAAAGCAGATCTAGAATGCCACTTGAAGTCATTTTGCAAGTGCTAACAAACTCTTAGCTTCTGGAAACCACTACGACTGAGGATATTAAGGAAAATTCTGGGTGTTGTCATTCTAGTAATGAGGCAACTGAGGTGTTAGGAAGTCTATGGAAAGAGCTGAATTACCTTCAGGCATAAGGAGGTAAGAAAAAGGGAATCCAGCAGACTTTATGGACTATGCAGAAAGAGCCAGGAAACTTTTTTTTATTCATTTTAACAATGAAGGTGGTAGTAAATTTCCCAGTTTAATAAATACTTAGTTTTTCACCAGCTGCATAAAGATTGCCTCCTGCTTTTACTTCGCCTTCCCCCAAACTTTAAACAAAACCAAGCAAATACCCACCAGCATACACTGACTATTCACCTAAATGATTTTGCTGTATCTTACATTACAATAAATTAGTAAGTGTCCATAGCATACCTTACAACTTTTACCATCTTTGGTTCATTGTCTTTTAGTTTTGAAAGTAGTGCTTTCATTGTTCTACCAGTCTCAATAATGTCCTGAAAAAGAGACAAAAATAAATTGTCCTCTGAGGCTGAAAGAAAAAACAGATTGTGAGTGGATTAATTTAAAGCATAAAAACCAGTCAGCCACCCTGGCAGCACAGCAACATAGTAAATTGTTTGTTTATATGCAAAAGGTATTAACTTGCAAATCACAGGGCAAATGTCCATGTTTTTCCCAACTACCCTCTCCTTCTTCCCTCCCCCCCAGTCTTTACTTACCTCTACTACCAACACGTTCTGGAAAAGATCATGCAGGGAGAGAAAAAAAAAAAAAAAGAAAATATTTACATGGCAACATTCAGTGAATTACACAGTCAGGATAAGTTTGCACTACAAACTTCAGTCACAAAGTTTTCAAAGGAGCTTGTCACTTTAACTGCTTAGGTAGTTCTAGTGCTTTCTGAATAGTCTTTCAGTAGGTATTTATGGAAGCATAAAATATCGTGAGAAAGCCATCTATGTCAGGTTTTACATATTATTCTATGTATACGAATAGCATTATAGAACCATACTGCAAGAGTCAGTTTTAAGACGGTTCATTTCCATGGGGGCTGTGGGATAAAACGTGGAATAAAAGCGTTTCGGTGCTGATCGTGTTAAGTTTCACTGAGACCAGTGGGAATTACTCACTGTTTCAAAGGATGGCAGTTTAAACCAGTGTTAATGGCTGCAAGTAAGTACTGTCAAAATTTTAATAAAGATGGACTTCCTGGAAGATATACAAGACCTGTTCTGTTCCTGTAAAAGCTGAATATGCTAATCATACCTTCCCATTTAGTGTACACAGCTCCTCGCCTACAATACTGTTTTTTTCTGCAGGTGAATCATTCTAGAAGGAGAAAGAGCAGAGAGAAGACACATAAAACATTCTCAGAAGTGTTATTTTGTATGTGTATGAATGGTATGCTGCTTTTGTGTTTTGCCTACCAAATGACACTTGCAAATTTACACAGCAATCCTTTAGTAAAACAGCTTTTAAGCATCTGAGAGCAAGCACAGGTTTGTTTTATAATTCCATGAAAAATTTCTAGGATATAGTAAACTGCTATATTTAACAGAGGGTAAATTTTTGTCAGTGCGCAGAGCTCTAGTCTACAAAAAGGGAAGAAGATAAAACAGAAAAAAATGTCATAAGTCATTGCTTTACAGTAGTTGGCTCAGGCCAACTATGATTGGTTTGGGTAAAAGATACTTCCCCCCCCCCAGATTATGAAAACAAGTGTCTCCAATATTATCTATAGGAATAAAAACTAATGCAGAGAGAGACAATAAGCAAGTCTCTGATGCTAAACTCCTCTCCATACTCCCTCCTATCAAAGGGTGCCATGGTACAGAGAGAGTAGAATCCATGTGGAAACTGTTGGCTGGAGAGGAGGATGTTGGAGACCTCACCCTGGCGTTGTTATATTAAGGTGTTCTATTGTATGTTCACTCCAGTGACTATACAATATTCATCTGATTGTTGGGGTAGATCGGTAAATCAGTATGTAATAGACTGAGCTGCTTTGAACAGGATGTGTACATATACTCATTTTGTTGTGGAGTTTTCATGTAAACTACCAGTATTCAGAATGTCAGTCTATGTGGAGAGTTAATTTTCCAAAGAAAATAAAGTTGCTTACACAGTAGCTTTTTATTCTAACAAAATCCACAGTAATAGGCACAGATTTATCACCATTTTGATTTAGTGCTTTTATATGGTCCAGCAAATCAGCAAAGAATTTATAGCCTCCTTTAAGGACACAGAGTGCAACAATGTGGTGGCTTCCCATATCTTGCATGATATCTCTAGCCAAGCGTTCTGTCCTGGAAGGAAAAAAAGAAAACAAAGAAAACAAGACAACAAAACCCCCCAGGTTTTATAACACCTGCAAACTATTTTATGTATCATACTAGTTTGTCCATATATTAAACAATGTCCAAATTAAAATGTTGATCTTGCAAATTGTGGCCATGTTAAGACATAGAAAAGTTAGTTACATACTTGCAGTTCTCAAGATGATTCCTATTCCACTTGTCATACTGTTGATTTAATCCATTTATTTAAAGAATGCAGAATACGGAAGCTTAAAGATATTTGAAATAAAATGGAAACTTAACTGGGATTATAGAAAAATCCTCTAGAATGCACTTTGTATTAAACTCCAGAACACAAGTGTTACAGCTGCAGGATTTCCATGTTTCTCACACACTATGCAGGGCACAACCTCAGTCTTCATTTGGACAGAAATGGATCACTGGCGTTGCTATCACTACTTTTTGTTGTTTACCCTCATACCTGTCCAGGATGAGTCCATGAGGAATGAAGACTCTTTCTAAATCTTCTTCATAATGCTTAGGAATGCAAAATAGATTTTTGTTATAGCCACTTTCTTCATCTTTTATCTGCAAGTGAAAGGGAAATAGCTCTTAAGGGTAACAACGAAGCCCTACAGGAAAAGACCTTCCAGTCTCTGATAAGGCTCCTTTCCCCACATACCCCAATAATGTGTCAAAATAAAAATATATCTGAGAGTTTCTGAACTTTCTCATAGAACAGTTCACAATCTGTCTGATAATTAAGGAGCTAGTGTGCTTGTCTGAGATGTGAATAGAAACATAACTGTTTTACCCCAGTCATAGTAAGAGAAATTCTCAACCACCACAAACGCATAAAAATAACCCCCAAAACCAAACTACCCTCTTGCATTCTTTTTCCTCTCCTGCAGAGTGCAGCAGCTTGTTTGTGTAGTAGACAAGAAAAAATTAAAATTTAAGGCTTAAAGCTTCACTACTGTGAAATAGGTGAACAACACACTAGTTGCATTCAACAGAACTCAATATAGTGGCTTGTTAACAGACAGCACAGAGCTGTGGACTGGGTAGTAATAACTTAAAGTATTAACCTGCAAACTCTTTAGACAGATGAATTGTTTTTAAATCTAGTTTTTTGGCATATGGGAGACGAGCACGTAAGTAAAAAGGAAAAACGGATGTAGGGAATAGGAGTAGGTTATCGCTTGCAAAACTTACAGCAGCCACAAAAATGAGATAACCAGTTACTGCCATTTATTTTTAACCTGGCCACAAATAGCCTACTTAATTTAAAGATAAAACTAAAGAGACAGATGTTAACAAGTATTGCAAAGAACAGATAATTGTAGTACAAGGCAATGTATATAGAGTCCCATCCTGGCTGAACTAAGGGTAATGTGCAAGTACTCAAAATTGATAGGCCTTGGGGTTCCAAGTTAAAATTACAGAACAGCTTTGCAGTTGAGCATTGTTTAGAGAGTTAGCAGCCTGGTTTAGTTACTATTTTCTTCATGGTTGAAGTCAGTGAAGTGAAAGCCTAGGTGAATGATTATTTTAAATTCAGTTTGTGCTTTATTCATCTTAGAAAAGGTATGGGCAGTTACACTGGCATCAGCTCTAGATCGGGCTAGACAGTAGCATCTATGAGCAGGCTTTAATGCAGTGCAGAACTGAATATTATTGTTGGAGTATTGGCCAGTTTGAAATGGGCTAATTTCTGCCTGTGTGAGGTTGCTAGCGGTGACAGACAGAAAACACATACAGGTTACGGAGTTCTGTCAAGAAGAAGCCTTGACCATGGGACATAATTAGGAGCATTGGTCAAAGTTAAAAGATGGTGTTTATTTGTTTATTTGGAAGATAAGAGCATAATTTTTATTTGGAGTACAGAAGATGTACATTTAAGTGTAGTCACTGACATGATAAACAGTTTAAATAAAGTGCTGTAGGGTGGGTTTATTTTGTTGTTTTGGTTTTGGTTTTGGTTTTGGGTTTTTTTTTCCCAAAATCCCCATCTCAACTGCATTCTGCATAACTGCAGCTGAAATATAATGACTATGCCACCTGTGAGTTGAGCAGTTTTTCTTTTGCCTGGTCATGATACTGATTGCCATATTTAATGGATATCAGCTTTACAATTTGCTTTTGCAGTTATAAATTGGTCTTTCATCTGCATGGTGAGTTCAGCCTTGCTGATGATGAATTTCACTTCCTGCTGCATTTGATGAGAGGCAACGCAACTGATTCAGCTCAAGTGAGGAATGAGCTTTGTCCACGTTAGTGTAACTGTTGAACAAAGCTGGTCTTGATGCATATAAGTGTGTGTAGTGATTACTGCTTATAGATACTCCAACAGTGCAGTTTAGTAGCTTCTGTTTGGCTAACAACTATGCTCATTGAGATTATTTTGCACAAACAATGTCTGCTGCATTAATATCTTATTTGTTGCTATGTGTGAAACACTTTTTAAGGTCTGCTGAAAGGTTCATGAACAGAACCTAAAGGATTGCATCAGTCTGAGCACCACATCACCATAGCAACATCCTGCATATGCCTTATAGGCTCATAAAAGCATTTGTATTGTGGCACATGCTAAATAATAGAGCAGTACCTCATTATAATAAAGCAATCTACTAAACTATCACATAAAGTCGTTAAATTTTTAAATCATGAGCTTATAAGTTAAGGAATTAGTTATTTAATTTAGATTCAGTCTCGTCTGTTGTTCATTTACTGATGTAGCTTTCTGAGTTTAAGGATTTAAAAAACCCCAACAGCAATTTTGTGCATTAAAGAGATTCATAAATAAGTATTCTTTCATCAGCAGTAGGAAAGAATATGAATATGGGTATATTAAAGTAAAATTAATAGTGTCATAAGTTTGTAAAAGAATTTAGTCTATTAATATGCCTCTGTTCTGAAAGCCATTTTTTCTCGTGAGTAGATATAAGAAACAAGGCCTTTCATTAGTCAGTATTTCTAATGTTCTAGTATTTTGCTGAAGCTAACTTCTTATCCCATACCCAAAGCTCCCTTCAATCAAATAAGCAAATACGAGTCCGTTATGCTTTCTTACCTGCAGTCCACGAGCCATAATCTTTCTTTGAACTATGCTACCGGAGAATGAGTTGGTATTGTTACTGCAGTTTGTCTTGCTCTATTTTCATCTTGCAGTCAAATCATGACCTGCTTCTAAAAGGTCAAAATTGCCATCCTTCCTACAGGAAGCATTACTTCTTTCTGCTAATGCACTGACATCACAATCCCAGTTTCTTAATCAGATTAATCAGAGATAAAATAGGCATGAGCCCTGCTACGACCAATCACAGAAAAGGTATGGGGAATGAGAGGGATGCAGAAGGGAAGCTCATGAATCAAATTAGTAGGAAGGGCTAGGTAAGGTAGGTTTTTTTAATTGTAAACACAAATTGGATATTGAGTTATAGCAGGTGGTAATTCAGTGGTGTATGTGCAGAAGGTAATCTTATATATCAGTTTCCCACATAATATCTGCACATCCATTGTTCTGATAAAGCCCACATCTTTTTAAACCTAAGATGTGCTAAGTTGCTCTAAAAAAATCAGTATTTGAATAAACAAATCCGTATTTTTAAAGATGACTTGAAGCAGAGAAGTCTGCATCTGTTGAGACGTGGTGAACCCTGCCTGACATTCTTCCAGGTCATCCTTTCATATAATGAGGGGGTGATAGTTCGAGTAACATGCTTCGCATCATTTAAAATCAAATCTCACTGACATTCACTGTAATCTGATTAGGGTACCAAACTGCACTAGTATCTGGGATTAACATGAAGGTTTTAGATTTATAAAAATTAATCGTACTAACAAAATGAGCTTAAGCCAGCTTGCATGCAACATGTTACAGAATGTTCTTAAAGGTTGGGTACATTTTATTATTTCATCAAGTATTATGTTTTGTTGGGGAGAGGGCACATTTATGAAAGAAGATTTTTCTTGTTGCTTTGTAGTCTTATGGAGGCTCTTCAAATTGTGGTTGATAACACTTGGAATAACACAGAAATGCTCTTCCAGGTAGAAAAATGGGCATATCCACAACTTCCTGTGATACATCAAATAGTAGTACTATATGGGAACTATTAATGCCTTGAGGCTACTTGGCCCTATTTCATGCAGTTAGCAATACTTCCCTTCTATGAATTCCCATTGTATTCCTTACCTTACACATGTGAGCTCCCTATCCTGTGAAAAGCCTTGCTTTTCTAATTCCTAGTGTAACACAGTTGTTTCTAGCTGGGAATAAATTGTGTTCAAAAACCTGGGGAATTTCCTCAACAAAAGCCTACTTTGAAAGGAAACATTAATAAAAAACACATATGTAAAGAGCAATGGCTATTCCTTGAGCCGATACTCTCCCTTCATTATTCTCAGAAGCCAAAATGAAGGTGAACAGCAGCACTGCTAAGGAACTCATGCAAACATAAATTGCCTTTGTAAGTGTTTGTGGAGAAAAGCGAGAGAAAGAAAAGGTGGGGGGGAATCCCAGACTAGTTTGTATGTTTTCTCTCTCCTGAGCTTTTCAACCCAGTGTAATTTAAATTTAGCTGTGCTGAAAGGGTGTTGGAGCTCTGGAGAGCCTTGAATGGATGATGCCGTGGTAGAATACTAAGTGCAGCAATATTGCTCATACAAATTGCCCACATATCACACCTACAGCTTTAGATGACTAGTTCTAGGATTTGAACTTTTTTTCTTTTTTTCCTAATTACAGGCAAAAAATACATATATAGGTTTCATACTTGTTGATTCTCCTGTAATTTTCCACATTTAAACAGAATTTAGTGTAGTTTTGCTAAGATCAATAGTATGGGTGAGACTACTTGTTTAAACCTCTTTCTGATGAAGGGACTAATTATTGGCACTCTGAGTTTGCAGTTTCCAGCAGTCTAACTGAGCCGAGCTACTGAAATTACAGTGAAGAAATAAATATCATGTGCATATCTGGTATGATCTGTAGCACCCAACTTAGCTCTGCCCTTTCTTTAAATGCTCTCTTCTTCTCTATATTATGTAATTTTTTGTGCACTCTATCTCTGTATAGAGAAACCTTGCCTGCAGATCACACATCCTAGGCAGCCTTAAAATACTGTCAAGTGTAATATGTATGCTTTGGTCTGTCTATTAGACTGCCTCTGTTATGTAAATAACTTTTATAAATCCCTGAAGTCTTTACTTCAATCAAGTTTGATTCCACATTGCTCATATTTTTATAAATCATACACTGGACCTTGCAAAGCTTTGGGTCTCCTTTAGGCACTGTAGTGTTTGATCTCATTTGAACTGAGCCCAGTTCTGAAGTCCTATTTAACTCTGTTTCAGGAAAAGATTGCAGAAAATCCCTCCCACTGACTTTATTTCTGAGTTTTTGCTGCACTGGGAGTATTGTCTGAGCTACAAACAAGCAGCAACTTTTTGACCAGAGTCCATGTTCAGAAAGAGCAGAAGAATTTCATTTATAAGCGGTACATGCATATATATGCATGTATTATATAGTTATGTTATTATTACATTTTCTTAACAACTACTGATTTCTCTGTAGAGAAACTAACAACAAAAGAAACCGTTGTGATATTGCTTCGTGATGTGGGCATCTGTTCAGCTGGAATGAGATTCCTCTAAGTGAACTAGGAAAATAAGTGTATTCTACCAAAATCCCCATAGATGGAAAGTGTCAGACAGGCCACCATGTGGCCTCCAAAACTTTATGAAAGGATTCATGAGAAACAGTCAACAGCCCACCAGGGGGAAAAAAAAAAAAAGCAGATTTTGGAACTCTGGGAGACTTGGAATAGAAAAGCTTAGTGTTGAGAAAAACATACACTTCCATTAAACTTTAAGCTGGTTCAAGAAGCCTCTGCTTAGTCTATCTGAAACTCAGAAAACTACTTCCCAAATCATATTTGATTTAGGATTCTCAGTAAATTCCATAGAACCATAATAGTAACCACATACCACTATCACCTGGCAAGTACTTGGAAATCCAATAAACGTGTTAGTGGTCTCAATTAGCGGGCTGAGATTTGCATTATGAAAGTTGCTGCTACAGTAACTGTTTTTATTGTCCCATTCTGAAGAAAGAAAAATTCACAGGTGAAAGGTTCATGCTAAGAGAGCCCTTTGTCATTGCTGAATAATGGAAAGAGAATGTAGCCAGTTGGCATCCGTGTGCGGTTTCTCAGTTGTATATTATGTGATCACACTCCCATAGGAGAGAACAAAAAAGTGTAAGTGTGTATGTATTTGTTCCATATAGGAGCCCCAAGTGCATCTTTTTAAAGTAAAATGTTTTGAGTAAACCACCAAGTGAATCTGGTATCAATCTACTGCCCTCCTAGAATAGCAAGATACTGAGAGAGCCAGTAAGGTAGCCTGTACAAACGGACAGGAGATTAATTAGATCAGCACTGATAGCTTGGTAAAACAGCAGACAGTCAATACAGAACAACACTGCTCTTATCCTTGAATCTATTCTCTGAACTACTGAATCAATAATTACTTTTTTCAGGACATGATTTTGCTGTTTACATACCTAAGTTCATTACAGTTTGAAGTAACTGTTCTTGAGACTAATGTAATAATTTCAAAGGTCCTCAAGAAACATTGTATAGGCACTAATTAAGTCCTGGCATCTCCTTTTAATTATTTTAAATTGGAAAGCAAATTAGATGTATCTTACAAATGTTTCTCTAGGTTACTAAAACCTTACAAATGAAACATCAGAGAAAGTGTCCACTAGAGGGAGACCTCCACCATGGAAGACAATAATTGCCAAAGGGGAAGAAAAGCCTACATTTTATGAAGCAAGCTTTCCAGACTAAGAAACTCTGTGTTCAATTAATAACTGCACAGATATCTCAAAGAAATGCAAATGCAATCAGGTAATTTAAAACAGGCGTCTTAAATATTTAGACCAGTGCTGAACTTGTATGACTGTGGATTAAAGGAAAACTGCTCTGATTTGCATCACTGGAGATTTGACCCGTGTACTCCATGTTCCAAGTGGCTGATAAAGCCTTAAATTAAAGCTGATAGTTTGTATTCAGTGACTGATGTGTTATTAGGAAACCTAATTAATACACTTTGAAATGGTTCAACTTTAGTAATTTGGAGCCCATCCTAAATCTGTTTTTTGTTTGGCACTTTTAAGTGTAAGATAAGCCCAGCTGCTTAATTGGGTTTTGTTTGGAAAAATCACACTGCACATGCTGGTAAACAGTGCACGTTTATGATTAGAAATTAAAAGCACTTTTGCTATTTTAGTCTTCATCACATGTACTCTTCTTTGTTATATGGCTCTTTTACATAAAAAATGTCATAGGTCAGAACCTTCATACTTTACTTGGCTCTTTTCTGTCTGGTGAGATTTTTTGTTATTTTACTGAAGCAAAAAGGTAGTAGACATCTTGACAAATATTGGATACCTGTGAATGTTGTGCTTGAAAATGTCGTCTGCTTCTACAACTCCTCGAATAACCCCAACATCTAGACATGTAGCAAACAGACTGATTGATGGCAGAGCTTGAAGGAAACACTGCTGTAAAAGGTGACTCAGATTCAAGTCTGAATAATTCTTGAAAATACCCTACCACCAATTCTTAAATAGACAAATGACAAATTATGCAGACTTAGGCATTCTGATTGCTGACCAGGAGGAAACGTACAATATTTATTAACAAATTCTTTCTGGCCATAGCATAAATGGTGGAGTGACTGTGTGAAGGAAACCTTTGTATAGCTTTTGCTACATTTGTTTTGTACATAGGAAAAATGTTTCAATCTCCTGGATTGTCTTATGTTAGAAAGTCATTTCGAGAGAGGATCTGGTTAGGACTGGGGCAATAGGGCAGAGAGAAAAGGAATCAGGACTTCTGGATTTTATTCACTGCTTTGACATACCGTTTATTTGCTGTACGACTGTGGCCAATTTATTTTCCTGACTGCTCCTGTTGTACCTCTGACCTTCCCATGTGCCTGCTTTTCCCTGGTGCCTCCTGTAATCAGCTGACCTTAGTTTTCTGAGACTCCTCTCCTATGGGCTACACAGGTCATTGTTAT